GTAGAAATAGATTAGATTATTTTATAATATAAATGCAGTCTCTTTATTAGAGGTTTCCACATCTGTTATTGTTATTATTATTATTATTGTTATTATTGTTATTAAATTTGTGCATTTGGTACAGGGTCTCATTATGGAGCTTGGACTTGTAGTGATCCTCCTGTGTTTAGCCTCCCTGGCGCTAGGATTACAGGCATGCACCACCATGCCCAGAGGTTTGGTGCCCCACAGTGTCTTTTGTCATTGACTGCCATTGAAGGTTGTTCCAATCCAGAGACTTGCCCCAACTGGGTTGAATAGCATGGTAAATGGTTAAAGATAAATGTGCATGGAGAAAATAGTTAGAGATGAGTATTTAGGTGAAATATTTCATCAGACCAAGGGGCCAAATAACATTCCTCCAGCTTTCAGTGTGATCAAATAGTATGTTTTCCAGAAGGAATCAGGCATGACTTCATTTGCTCTATGAATGTCTTCTAAGACTGGAGACTTTGGAGACAATTGAAAGAGATAAGTTGTGTTCAGAGTTCAGAGTGTTTTGAGGGGCAGAACACTTCATTGATAGATAAAGTAGCTTCAGTGCTTATAAGAAAATTAGTCATCTGGGTGAGTTGATTTACTTGAATTCTATGCTTCTTATTCATAATCTTTGAATGTATTCTGAAGTTACAAATATTTTTGGATTTAAGAAGGGATAGTATTACATATCTTGTAATACAATGATGCATATGACAATAAACAATGTCCAACTTACTAATACTGATGCAGCAAAAATGATTACTTTAAACACTTTGAGGTTAAAAACTATGAGGATTTTGTATCACTTCACTTTTTCACACAGTGGTTTATTAGGACATATTTTGTTTCCAGTTTCTTGGATTTTGCAATTGTTGATAAGGGACTGTGGACCAGTATTACTAGGAAACTATGAAGTCCATGCAAGGGGTAGAGGTTTGGGCCAAAGTTTGCATTCGTAGATCTAAAAGTATGTGCTTTCTGAAAACCTTGTCTCTCCTGGTAGCTACATCGAAAAGCCTAAAATTCCTTTACAAATGTGAAGTTCACTGTGCTGTAGGATAGTCATGTAGACAGACAGGACACTAAGGCCCATTTTCCCAGGAAGCAGCTTTATTTGTGCTGGCATTGAGTCAGCTGTCTCATTTCCAAAGGCCAAGTGCCAGAGGTGGTGTAGTTGCTCCTCTTCATACAATTTTTGCGTTTCTGTCTCCTTTGTATTGTCATGCACTAACATTTTACTGTCCTGCTCAGTACACATTGACATTCTACAGTCTTACTGGGTATGATCTATGTTACAGATACATTCGAACTACACATACAACACACAGAGGCTGATATTGCTACATTGAAAAAAGTTCCCACCCTGACACGTTGGGAGGATGCCTACCACTCATCTATAAGAAGACCTGACTAGAACATAAAATTTAAGACTCATATATAGAAGCATACACGATTTAAACCTTTTTATGTAGGTTAAACACAGTTTAAACTTTGACATTCTCTCCAAGGTATCTATTTATAAGTCCCATGTGACTTGGAAGTCTCTGAACCCTCAGCCTGAAGCTGTTTAAGTGGATTTAGCTATTTCTAAAACCCTAGATAACCAGTATTTATGTGGGGAGCCAAAAGAGCCAGAGAACAAAATAAAAGGAAGATAAAAGGAAAAAAAAATAAAATTGCTTCAGGTACGCTAAACCAACAAAGAAAAAAGACACAGACACTCAAGCAATAACTTTTAGATCAGAGTACACTCTCAAATGTTAGCCAAGTTGAGCTATAGCTATAATAATTTGTCGTAGGTTCATTATAAATTGACCAGTCAGAAGTTTTAGGGGTGACCAATTGCTTTAGACTTTCTTGTATTAAACTAAAACCAGTAAAGAGGTTACAGAGAAAGACTTGTTACTGTGGACTGATAACCAGAAACTATCAGGAGTGGAAGGGAAGATCCTTGAATTTTTATTACTTTGTTTTCTAGCTTATCTTTAGAGAAAAAAAATCAACTTTTAATGCAACTACAGATCACATATCAGGGAAAGCAGAGGCCATGAACCTTTAGGCTGTTCATGGTTAGGCCAGTTTCACAACTTCTTGGTAACCAACAGAAAAAAGTTAAAAGGGTCTGAGTTGCCCACCAATTATGCTTAGCCTAGCATTTTACTTAAAATTGATTTTCTATAATTTTGGTTATGCTTCCCTTTGGATGTTAGAGGCCAAGTCAAGTGGAGAGGAGTGCTAGGAAAGAGTGACAGATAAAGCCATATTGCCCTGTGTCTATGAGTGATAAAGAACTTTGAGAAGGAACAGCCTGGGCCCCACCAAACAATTCACACACACATATTTCTTTTTATAAACTTCACCCTCTACAAGCTTTTCCTTGGCATAATTGAAGCTTTCCAGTCCTGTCATTTTCTCTATCTTTCTAGCAGGGAAAACTTTTATCATACAAAATCCTCTTACATTAAAAGTATATCTCTTATATTTATAGCCTTCTTTACATTTTTTCTCTGTCTTATGTACTATAAACTTTTCCATAATGAACCTAGCTGAGGCTACTTAGATTTTAGTCTCTCTCTCTCTCTCTCTCTCTCTCTCTCTCTCTCTCTCTCTCTCTCTCTCTCTCTCTCCCTTCTCCATTGGTCTCACATGGTAGTTTTTAAATTTGACTGTCAACAGACTTTCAAGTAAACTTGAATTGGCATTCTTACTTTAACACCCACAGGAAGCAAAGAGAAGAGCAAGTTAATCATGTTCTTATAGTTGAAGTACCTGCAATCCACAAGAAATGTTTTAAGCTTATTAATTAAATAAAAAATAGCAATTTAAATAGGAAGCCAAAAGTTAATTTGTCAATTAGCCCAGATTTTTTTAATAATGGGCTCTGACTGTGACTCTGGTTTGGCTTTTATACCATAGCATGAACATTTTATGACTCACTCTTTTTATTAGGCTCTGGGAACTTGCACCTTTCTAATTTTTTCCTAAGCCAAGGAAAAGGGCAGTCTTGTTCACCTCATGCAGCTGTGGCCATGGCAGAAGCTGGCCACAGAAGGTGGCTCTTGCTTGGCCGGCACTGGCTCCAGGTGAGATGGAGCCATTGGTCCAGGATATTGGGGCTTTAGGCTAGGATAGGGATTCCAGAGCACCCAATGTGAGAGAGGGAACTGGAGATGAATCCTCTGTTCTTAAGTCCCTGAGTTTTTAGGGGAAAGAACACATCAGTCTCTGCTGCTGACACAGGTATAATCTACCTCCTGAGACCTTGGCCTCCTACCATTAACAAATTAAATCAACAATTGACATACCTAGTTCTTACCTGATCCAAACATTGGCCAAAGATGGATGGCACAAGGAAAGAAGTTTTTGGTTAAGGGAAACAATAATACTCTATCATGCTAAATCTCTTTTTGTTTTTCTGTCCATAGCTTGTTGCTCCAAGTCCTTGGAGGACTTGGGGACTTTGGAGGGGGGAAATAATTTCCTTCCCTGAGCCCCTTTATTCCCTAACCTTGGAAGTTCATTTATTTCTCTTTCTGTTTGTCCCAAAACTCTAAGTCTCAACTCTGGTGTACAGAGTTGTCTCGTGATTGGCTAAAGCAGGAAACTCAGTCTCCAGTGCACACCCTCTCTCTGACAGTCAATGCAAAGAAATTGGTCAGGATGGTCACAGTCCCCTGAAACAATACCAAACACTTAGCTAATTATCTCCTCATCCAGTGAGCTCTCAGTGGGCCATCCCACCCTAAACAGTAGCCAGTCAACTTTACAGAAAGTACAAGCAGAGCACTACAGTCACCTGAATATGCCTCTTAAAATTTTTTTTAACACACATTGCAGTGGAGTGAGTTTACTCTGCCTTCCACCCATGTCTCCCCGACCCACAACAGACAACTGTCATGAACAAGGGAGAAAGGAAGGAGGGAAGGGGAAGAGTTTTATTGGAAGAGTCACATATTCACTTTGTCTGTCTCCAGTTGCTCCTCTTAGTATTGGCAGAGCTTACAGGCGGCCTAGCCTCACTTTCAGTCACATGATGACTGCTATGGAACCATAGATTGGGACCCAATGCTCGAGTGGGCCCTGTGGTCAGGTCAGAATCTTCCCACCGTCTGTCTCATTCACATACAAACACACTAAGACTTCTACCCAGCACCCAGCATCTGGTCCTTGGGTTACGGTTTTCTTCCTTGTGAAACTGCTTGGGCAACTCTGGTGCTCCAGCTTGCTGCCCAGCTCCTGAGAGTTGCAAGTTTCAATTTCAGTGGAACTTACTCCAGCAAGTCTGGGAGGTGATCAGTCTCCCTTTCTGGAACTTTAAAAGCAGGACTACCAAATCAAAACCCAAACTTCACCAAATCAGGTGGGCGGTGCTCCCTGATTCCTGGACCTCTACATCTGGAGCTGTCCTTCCAGCACCTTGGGTGGAGATTCCCACTGGATCAAACACCCATTAATGACAGGAGATATAGAATCTCCTGGTGCTCTGAGGATCAGACTCCAGTGAAAAGGAGGTAAAAATACCCCATCTCTGAATCCTGGCCACAAATCCTCAGAAATGCTACAGGAGATTTATGTAGAGAGAGACGGGCACCACGGCCCTTTTCCCAGGAAGCAGTTTTACTCCTATCAGCTCTGAGGCAGTGGATTCACTCCAAAGGATGAATCCCAAACATGGTGTAGTTTCATCATTTTATACAACGTTTCCATCTTCGTCTCCCTTCTATGGGCATACACCAACATTCTCCAGGCCAATTGGGTGCGTTTATGTTACAGAGCTTTGCCAGACCACACATGCTACACAGAGGCTGATATCACTACATTGTAAGAAGTTGTCACCCAGACCCATCAGGAGGGGCCCTGCCACAAATGGACCACGCCTCAGTATTTTTTACCCCTTGTCCACATTCTTGATTTTTAAATTGTTATTCCTCTTTTATTTGTGGCTGGACTACATCTTCAAGTAATTTTAGCTCCCTTATTGCTCT